ATCTGAACCAACTGCAGTCACATGACACATAGTTTGGGTTAAACATGAGCATGTTACAGTCCTGGAGGATTATTAATGTGCACCTCCTCCTGTACTGCCTTAATATGCACATTCAGCACATCCAATGCATCAAAACATTGTTTTCTAGTTGGAGCCGCGCCTCGTTTTCAAACTGTATGGTTTGACTAAAATGAGCAATGACAGCAATACAGTCCACGATGACCAGCGCTAAAATCAACCTGCGAAGTTGTCCCTCCATTGTGACATTAGAAAGTGTCACATTTATCTTTCAAGTGTACTCTTCTTCAACGTTTGGTTTACTTCCTGGATTTTTCCCACATGGAAATTCTGACCAATCAAGAGCAGCTTTCTCACTCAAGGCATTTTATCTGGTCTGCTTGTAAATGCTGCTGTGAGAACATGAACCAACTCTAGGCAATTATACAGCTTTGTGACAAAATTAGTCCAAAAATTAACTCTTGGTCTGAAAGCACCCTTAAATTAAGAGTAATTTTAGCATGTGGAGAACCAGCATATTTTCACTTCTAACTGGGTGAATTAAGGGTTTATTCAAACCAAACCGGAGTTGGTGACTGTTGGAACGATGGAAAGACAAATCAAGATGTTTTTATGAGTTCTATTTGGTTTCTGTTTACTTGAATTCAGTGTGTTTTATGATGACAAAATTACTGTTTATGTAAATGTAGTCTGGTGGGTTTTACTATAGCAATTTTGAGACTGTTTCTGGTTAAACAAAACGGATCTTGTTCTTAAATAAAAAGGTGTATCTCTGTAGGGATCCTTTCCATAAACTGTCAAACACTGATAATAATCTGAGCCTGTCAGTGGTGAAAACAAGCACTTTTAGTGGATGTAAATTGACGGTGTGAAGATGCCCCTAATGGTTACATCGCAGCTTGGACCAATTTCATTAAATGTTGTTGCCATTAGTCACTCACATTTGACTGACGGTTGGGCACTCGACACTTTTAATAAGTGTCACTCACCAGAAATGACGGATTTTCATCAGAAAAAAGCTGCTTGACACTTCTGTCACGCACCTGGAGAATTTTGTTATGTTGCGGACTTGTCATACAGACCAGAATAGAATAGAAGCCTTGGACCAGTACAATGAAATTTTTAGAAGCACAAACAAGTGACAACCCAGAAAAATACCTCAATCACATCACCAATAACTAAAAATAAAATAAATAATCAATAAAGGCTCTTGCAGTCTGTTTCGTAGTGTCACTAACATCGCCATGGAGATAGCAGTTTTTAATCCACATCGACTCCGACCTGCGTTCAGTGTCTCCGTCAACAGAAGCAGCCGTCGTCTGTCTTAACCAGGCTGACTGACTGCAGACATTTACTGAACCAAAATGATGTTTCTGTCAGCGCCACTGGAAGAAATTAACAGTGCTTCTATCCATTGATCAATTGATTGTTTTAAATTCCCAGCCCACCACAGCGAGTGAGGGGAATCTGCCGCTCACAGACAGACTGGCAGCAACCGAATCGATGAATACACAGTTAATTAGGAAAATTAAAAACACACATATACAGCTGGATATCTGTGTGATTTAAACAGCTGTCTGTGCAGATTACGCTTCACTTGATGCAACAGACTCAGACAATATAAAGCCTTTCAGTGAAGCAGATATTAAAAACGATGTGCGGCTGTTAAATTTCTTTTGGATGACACTTAACAGAGGTGTCGGGTGCCCAACCATTAATCCGGCTTTAGACGCATAAACACGGGAAGATAGGGTCCATTTTGAAAAATACCAAATTTACCCTTTAAGTAATTCAGGGGAGCCAACAGTAGCTATTGATCACATGTAAATGACCATGCAGAAGGAAAATGATACAACTGTTTAGTGCAAACACACAGCAACATTCAGCCCATTGTTCTTAGTCATTGAAAGTCAAATATTCAATGTAACAAAAACTCAAGTTGACGTATCACACAAGAATCAAAGTCTACTGACCATATTTCTTGTTGAACAGTTCCTTGACTTGCTCTCGAAGGACTACTTTCTCCCCCATGCGGTTAATATCGTCATCATCTGTCAGGTGGGGAGAATCAAGTTAATGACAACTTTTAAAATAAAGTCCCTGATGACGCATCAACAGGAAAATGTCTACTGTAAAGCATTTTCTACTCACCACTTATTGAGGCGTAGGCCTTCTTTAGTAAAGTGACGCGTCGAGGTGCTGATGAAAATAATACATTGTATATTATTATTAATATGACATAACATTAGACATTGTGATTACTTATTCAGATTTTGTGATTAAAAACCAAATGGTGTCATTACCTGGTTTTGGAATGAGTCCTTGAAAAGGTCTGCAAAGAACAAAGTGATGAGTCATCCTTAAATCATGTTAAAGATTTAACAGATAAAACAAACATTTAAATACATTTCAGCGGGAATAAATTAAACTTGAGGGCCAACCTTGAGTAGTACTCAAGCAAAGATATTGTCAAGACAGGCCACAGTATCACAGCTAAGGGGAATTATTTGGACCAGTTAAAGGAATACTCCCCCCATTACCATTTGTATATCAGTTACTCACCCCATGTTACGTGGAACGGTGAACAAAAATTCCAAATACAAAAATTCTTGATAAATTAAAGTCATAGGAGTCTGGGTTTAACAACAAAACCTTTGGAACCAAAATAACCCTTTGGACATGGTAACTAGACCTGGGAGGGACAGAAGAAGTCGCCAGTGTTTAAGTGATCATGTGACTGGTGATTCCCACCTGGTGATGGTAAAGCTGATTTTGTCAGCGACCGCCAGGATCCTCTCCAGGTTCTGGGAGCCGAAAGTGCAGGGCTTCCTGAAGGGGATGCCGGGGGGAAGGCCCTCGATGATGACCGAGTCTGGGTTGTTCTTGATCCTCTTGTAAGGCACTTGGACGGGGTACTTGATGCCCAATGCCTCCCCATACTTCCTGTTGAACAGATCTTGGACCTGCTCTCGCAGCGTGTTGGCCAGGTCGATCCTGGACAGCTTAGACTCCAAGCACTCTGGAGACGGAAGAGAGAAGAGAATTCCAACATGCTGTGTTTGATTGGAGTCTGCTGTAGTTAGTCAGCATATTACCCAGTTTAGCTTTGAAAGCGAGGTTGATAAACATGAGAACACAATGGCCCATTTATGTATGAACCTGAGCGTACCTGAAAAACCAGGTCTCTTAGATATAGCTGCAGTGTCATCTGTTACTGGTGTTGCATCCTTGGCATCCAGCTCTGTGGAAAAAAAACATTTAAAGGTTAAACTTTTGTTTTTGTTGCCTCTTAAGATTTACTGGTGACAACAAACGTTAAGAGCTGCTCCTTGTTCCAGCAGCTGAGCTTTGTCACAAATAAAAAAGGTTGAGACAGCTGCAGGAAATCCCTGCAAGGACTTTCTTTTTCCCCTTAGAAGAGCAGTTTTAAAAATAGCTCGTGAACTGGATTTAACCTCATAATTTCAAGCATGCAGAGGACAGAGCAAATAGCATCTTAAACCTGCATTATGAGCTTTCCAGATGGTGGAATATGCAGAATATTCCACCACAGCCCCCCCCCCCCCCCCCCCCCCCCCCCCCCCCC